AAGAACAGCACAGTGTCTTAAGTGATCGAGGATGAAAAAGAACGACCGAAGTCCGACCAGTACAGCAACTCCGCATCTTCACTATTCCTAGCAAGGATTCTAAAATGAAAATCCGCGAAAAGTCGACAAGAAAAATGAGGTCGCCACAGAAAAAGATGTTTGCAGCCTATACATCTTTATCAGGGCAGAAGGCTCGATGGTGCAGTGGTTAACATTTGCCCGAAAGTTAAGACGAGCGGCTCGTTTCCTTTCGGGTCCCTATTAGCAAAAAATGGTCTTTTCACGTGATCGAAATTTCTTCGGCTTCATTCTGCACCTATTTTCGAAGAAGTTATACCGCCGACAGTAGTGCACTGTTTTAAAGTAAAAGTCCAGATTGGAACGCACCAGGCTCACTGGTTGGATTCATGCGTTCTTGCACCAGACTTGAAGTACTTATATCATTAACTGCATCGATGGTTATTGCTTTACGTCGACCTTTTGCGCTTGCTAGCGTAAATCACCATAAATTTTGCATAAAGTAAACGTAAAGTTCCCATTTAACAGTCGTTCTTTAAAAGTGACCTAGCCGTTCAGCGAACATTTTTCCCGCCAAAACTTTTAAGTGTCCATACCTGAGAAACAACGCTAAACTGAAGGCTGAATTTGAAATATTTAGGTTGGTATTCGGACAGGAAACATTCCTCCTAAGATTCCAGCTCTTTAGCTTTTCTGCTCCCGAGTTAGTAATTTTCCCGCCAAAACACTCACACGCTCATAAGTGGGTGCCCCATGTGCCTGAGAAGCTGGATTTGAAATCTTTAAATTGCAGATGGACATAAAATTTCAGTCTTCTAGCTTTTTTGGTTGCCGAGTTAGTAATTTTCCCGCCAAAACTTTCATACGCCCTTATATAAGCGCCACGCGTACCTGGAAGCTGGATTTGAAACCTTTAGCTAAAACATGCATAAAAAATATCCCTGCAAAGCTACAGCCCCTTATCTTGTTTGGTTCTCGAGATCGCTTACCCTCCAAAAAATTTCCATATTTTTTTAAGATATACGCACGTAATACCGAGGCAATGATATTAAAACAGGAGGGTCGCACAAGATGTGCGCACATGCTCTCAAAGTTTTAGCCTTCTAGCTTTTCTGGTTTTCGAGTTGAAAGTTGTTGACAAAA